GTACATTCGTAGTGGGAGAGAACCTTATTAACTCTCAAGTTGTTTCTTGTTGAGTGACATTGATCCTACTAGTTACGATAATGCACTAGAAGATGTTGTTGATCAAGTGTTGCTCTGGCTATGAACAATGAGATGAAATACTTGTATTTCAACTCCGTTCGGTCCTAGTAAAGACACCAAGAGGGGTAAAACCCACAAGGTGCATGTGGACATAAAAGGCAAAGAGAGGATGAACAGAAAGGTGAAAACCTTCAAAGCTAGCTTGGAGGCATTTTTTGCCAGACGCCATGCTTGAGTTTATCCAGATTCTCTTAGTTGCTATAAGTCTCAATTATGAGATTTCATTTTGGGAGTTGGATGTCAGGATATCTACATACAACAACCAAAAGGGTTTATAGCAAATGAGTAGGAACACACGGTATGCAAGTTGGGAAAGTCTATTTCATAGACTTAAGCAAGCATCCAGGTCTTGAAACATCAGTTTTGATCAGGTTATCAAAATTTTGATTTTGAGAGAACCTTAATGAATGATGTGTATTTGTATGTAAAGGATACAACGGAAGACAATAGTTTTTCTGGTACTTTATGTAGATGATATGCTCCTTATTAGAAACAATGTGGAGGTAATATCAAGCATAAAGAGTTGGCTAAGTTAGTGTTTTGGTATGGAAGTACTGGGGAAGCCAATTATATTCTTGGTATAAAACTCTTATGAGGCTGGAAGAATAAGTTGTTGGCATCACCTCAGGCTACTTACATTGACAAAAATCTTGCCAAAATTCAACATGAGAATTCTAAGAGAAGAATTATAATTCTCAGATGTGGAATTCATCTTCCTAAGGAGAAACCAAATACTTCTAAGAAGGAAGAATGCATGAGCAAGATATCTTATGCTTTGGCAAAGGTAGACTCACGCATATCATGTTGGGCGTTAAACTAGACATCTGTCACGTAGTGGGAGTAGTGAGATAGTACCATTTTGAACCTAGAGGAATACTAGATTATTGTTAAGCATGTACTCAAGTATCTTTGGAGAACGAGAGATTATATGCTGGTATATTCTAGTGGGAGTCTTGAAAAGCTGAGTTTTCAAAAATTCAGTTATTTCAAGTGGATATTAACTCAAGAAAATCAACCTCGAGCTATGAGTTTTTCACTAAACTCAGATAGCATTAGAGGTGGATCTTGCAGACCCAGTTACTAAGAGTTTGCCTGAACTTGTGTTCGAGAGGCATGTTACTTCTTTGGATCTTAGGAGGATCCCAGACTTGCATTAAGCAAGTGAGAGTTATTGGTTTCATTGTGCTCTGGGAGTAAGACGATAAAACAATAAAATAATTTTCTGAATTTCATAAATAAGGTTTTATTTATTTATTTTGCGTACTATTTACAAACATAAAGGTCCGGATCAAACTGTGGAGTATATGATCATATGGATACGTTCATGGAGGACATGATCATAGGTTCTCACAATTGATGAATGGAGTCACAGCCGTTAAATAAAGTTGGGCACTTTATTCAGGTTGCAATATTTTATGAAATGATTTTGTCCGAATCATTGTAAAATATTGGTGTGAATTAACATTCACATTGAAAGGATCAAGGAGAGATTTGATTAAGGTTGTTTTTCTGTCATAAGGTATCAAATCTCCAGTTAACTATAGTTATGTGATTGCTCTTAATCCTGAGTTTATTATAAATAGGTAATCAAATAGTTTTCATTCTTTGATTTACCAACGGGTGAGGTTCGATCTATTGACGGCCAATAACTCGGTATTTTGGGAGTGAGATTATTTGATTATCGGTATTCATGAGATAAACAACATGGAATTTGTAGGATATGTCCCCTTGATATGTTTCGGTACTTGGATATTAATGACACTGGCCAGTGCATGTAATCCATTAGAGAAACTATCATAGTCAATGGAATAAATAATTGATTGGGTTACAGAAAACTTGTCAATCAATTATAGACATTCTACAAAGGGGCGATGCATATTCATGTTATAAGTGTTGTTAATCTTGGAGTTCAAGTTCGGGCTTTTAGTGGAGTAGCACCGAATTAGATAATCATTCGTTGATTATCAGGAGCCTTGATTAATAACAGATGGTAGATCCCCAAGCTAGCTTGAGACAAGGGATGAGGTATTTTTCGGATAGATGATGACTTATGGGTTACATGATCTTGGGTTTTACGACTCAAGTTTGTATCCAAAAGAGCAAGTGGGAGATTGTTGGGTTTGCTCTTTTACTAAAGCCCAAATGGGTTATTAGTATGAGAGGAGCCCAAGGAACCTAGAGCCCAATGAGCTAGGGTTTCTTGGAACCCATACAAATAGTACCTCTTAAGTCATCAGCCTCGAAGGTCTTTTTTGTGAGAAAGAGACAAGCTCAGAATCTAATCAGTGCCCACACACTTCCCCTTCCTCCTCGAGAGATAGTTTGGAAGATCTGCCACAGTCCAGCTTCAAGGAGGTTGTTCGTGCTGCGGCGCTGAGGTGAGCTGTTCGTGAAGAGGAATCCTACAAGGGAAGATTCTACACGAGACCTGCGCACCGAGAGGTAATTGTGAAACAAGGATGATTCGTTAAACATACCAATGTACTAGGTCCTAAACCGCTTCCGCATAAATCTAAGATTTCCTACAATTGCTCACAAAAAGCAGAATTGCGGATTAGAATGGAGGGAATGACAGGTGTCCCTGCAGTGATGGAGATTCGGAAACAATAATCTATGCATTGAGGACTATTCTAACGCTAGAGTGGTGTGGGATTGTCTCATTTCACCTCAACAAGCTTCAAGATTTTATTTCTTAGATATTGAACATTGGCTAACAGCTAACATTAGCGATGATTCCACTGCATCTGTTTCTGCTAATTGGTTATCCACGTTTCTGATTACATGCTGGAAGATTTGGTGTTGGAGGAACAAAGTGAATCATGGGGAAGAGGCCTCATCTCTTGCAATCAAGGTTGATTTAATCAAGAGGCTAGTACTGGATGTTGAAAGCGTTGTTGTATCATTGGGCTCTTCGCGAACGAATCATGCCATCAGCTATCTAAAAATTTCTTGGCTCTTCCCAGAAGAAGGTTTCGTGAAGGTGAATACTGATGGGGCTGCGCGTTGAAATCCTAGATGGGTAGCGTGTGAGGGTGTTATCCGAAATTCACAAGGCAAATGGCTTGGTGGTTTTGCCTACAAGTTGGGATTTTATTCTTTATATAAAGTTGAATTGTGAGAAATCTTGCGAGGCTTAAAGAAGGCTTGGAGTGATGGGTACAGAAGAATCATCCTGGAAAGTGATTCGCTTTTGGCGATCACTGGGCTCACCAAAGGTGGTGTAGCAGTCCGTGAGATGCAGCTGCTCTCTCCTATACGGACATGGTTGCAAAGAGATTGACATGTTCGTCTTCAATATACTCTCGGGGAAGGAAACATGTGTGCTGACTGGTTGGCCAACTTCATGCTAAAATCTCCTGAGCGGGTTGATTAGAGATTTTTTTATGACCCCCCAAGTGGTATTCAATTGTTGTATTTGGGTGTTCTTAAGTCAGTAGGTAGGGTTTGTGCTGTGTCTCTCCCCAGGTAGGGCTGATTGTTTGTTCGCTTTTCTTTTCTGGGGCTTGTAGCCCTTTTTGTTTACCAAGAAAATAAAATAAAAATTGTTTGTTAAGTAAATTGTTGAAATTTTGATGTAGGCCTAGTGGTATATGTTGAAGGTTATGAATTTGAGAGAGAATGGTTTAGATTTACTTGAAGTATTACACTAAGAGACATAAGATTTGAAATACTTAATAGTGTTACCTCTAAATTATGAAAACCTTAAAGATAATGTAAGCTATTGCACTTCAGCCTATATAAGACTAAATAATCATACTTTTGCGTATTGGACTTATATACAAACATATTATTAGACTATATTATTAATATATCCAAAAGTATATACTCGTAATAGTGATACTTTTGGCTTGGTAGGCAAAGACACGAGTTAGATGGGGTGGCTTTTGGTTAGTGGCAGCAAAATGTTGACTTGGATGTTAATTAATTGAATCTTAAGACATTTGTGTTTCCTGTTAAACGTTAATCTTTAATTTCATAAATCAACATTCATAAGTTTGGAACCAAAATAATAAATAAATATTTAGAGTTCCTACTTCCCAGTCATCCAGGTATACACCCACGTACTTGGAAAGCAAATGTGGGGAAGGAAAGCGTTAGCATAAATGGTTGTGGGGTTGGTGAGAATAAATTGACCATATGACCCTCACCAACCCACCCCTTGTTTTCCCAATTGACAATATATGCCACCAACTACAATGCGTAGAGAAGTGTTAATTAAGAAATTAGCTATTCGCAGTTTTCAGTTACACACCAAAAACTTCCTAACCCGACCTAAGCTTACAGACACATTCATTCACTGGAGTTTGTACATCACATAGTACAGATTTACAATCAAGTATTGAATTTATGGCCTTATCATGTGTGAAGCAAATGAAGTGAAAGTGAAGGTTGATGATGCATAGCACTTGCACGACCTTGTGAGTTGTGAGGGAAGCAAACTCCAAATCCAAATTAAAATTAAGTCTTTCCATGCTTTGATTGGTGTGGTCAGTGGTGTGCCATTTAGCTATACAATGAATCCATCTCATTTAACATAATAAATTCATACGACATTATCTTAACTATTAATAAATAAATTAACATTTATTCTTTACCCACTATTAATCTCACAACACATTCCCTGTTTATCTCATGTTGCATGAGATAATTATCTCATGCAATAAATACAAGACAGTGGGATCCATTATTTTTATTATTATTTTTAAACGAACCGCACTACTTTGTCTCTGTTGCACGTGAGATAATTATTTTCCAATAATAATTCACCTAAACCGCCAAAGCAAACAAAGAAGAAAAGGCTAGAATTGTACATTAACATTTGGCTGGGAACTCTTTTAAAAGGGAACATTTCACAGAAATTGAAATCGAACAAACACAGCCACTGAACTGCTTCTTTGTGGTTCGTTTCGTTGTTGTGTGGTAATTTTCGAATCGAGGCATACACACAGCATGGAGTCAGTGAGCGCGTGGGGTAACACGCCGTTGGCTACGGTGGACCCAGACATCCACGATCTCATAGAGAAGGAGAAGCGTCGCCAATGCCGTGGGATCGAGCTGATTGCGTCGGAGAACTTCACTTCCTTCGCCGTGATTGAAGCACTCGGCAGCGCCCTCACCAACAAGTACTCCGAGGGAATGCCCGGTAACCGCTACTACGGCGGCAACGAATTCATCGACCAGATCGAAAACCTCTGCCGCTCACGCGCCCTCCAGGCCTTCCACCTCGACGCAGCAAGCTGGGGCGTCAACGTTCAACCCTACTCCGGTTCTCCGGCGAATTTCGCCGCCTACACGGCGGTGCTCCAGCCCCACGACCGTATCATGGGGCTGGATCTTCCGTCCGGTGGGCACCTGACACACGGGTACTACACCTCCGGTGGGAAGAAGATCTCAGCGACTTCGATTTACTTCGAGAGTTTACCTTACAAGGTGAATTCGAGCACTGGTTTCATTGACTATGATAGGTTGGAGGAAAAGGCTTTGGATTTCAGGCCAAAGTTGATCATTTGTGGTGGCAGTGCTTACCCTAGGGATTGGGATTATGGCAGGTTCAGAGCGGTTGCTGATAAGTGTGGTGCCCTCTTGCTCTGTGATATGGCTCACATTAGTGGACTTGTTGCTGCTCAGGTATAATATCACAATTTCATATCAAATCTATCTGTTATCATTGTTTTGTTTATGGATTTGCTAGGATAAAGTAACAACCTTGCTCTTGATCTGTTTTTTTTTTTTTTTTTTTTTTTTTAGAGATATAACTATTCTTTTGTTTTAGAGTAAATAGCATTTGTGGTCCTAGCAAATTTCAGGATGCTTGCTTTAGTCCCTAGCAAATAAAAATGCTATTTGTGATCCTATTAAATTAAAAATGGACCCATTTAGTTGAAATCGTGGTTCTTCACAAATTCAAAAAAATTCATATTAGTCTCTCAAAAGGATTAAAATGGGTCCATTTTGAATTTCTTAGGGACCACGAATAGCCTTTTTATTTGATAGGGATTAAAGCGGACATAGTAAAATTTGATGAGGACCGAAAATGATATTTACTCTTTATTTTATGAATGTTAGTGTTTTAATTCATAATATGTATTTTTGGGTCTGATTGATGACTTGTTTATTTTTTGTGGAAACAGGAAGCTAATAATCCTTTTGAGTTCTGTGACATTGTGACAACAACAACCCACAAGAGCTTGAGGGGTCCTAGGGCAGGTATGATCTTCTACAGGAAGGGACCTAAACCACCCAAGAAGGGCCAGCCTGAGAATGCAGTTTATGATTTTGAGGACAAAATCAACTTTGCTGTCTTCCCTTCTCTTCAGGGTGGTCCTCACAATCACCAGATTGGTGCCCTTGCTGTCGCTTTGAAACAGGCCATGACACCTGGGTTCAAGGCATATGCCAAGCAAGTTAAGGCCAATGCAGCTGCACTTGGAAAGTACTTGATGAGCAAGGGATACAGTCTTGTTACTGGAGGAACTGAGAACCATCTTGTCTTGTGGGATCTCCGCCCTCTTGGCTTGACTGGTAAAGGACAAACTCATTACCTAACTAAGTAAAAAAGTAGCAAATATCATGGGTTTAAGTTGGAACCCTTTTGTTAATGCAATTTCGATACTCTTGCAGGCAATAAGGTGGAGAAACTTTGTGACCTCTGTAATATTACTGTGAACAAAAATGCTGTTTTTGGTGATAGCAGTGCCTTGGCCCCCGGAGGAGTACGGATTGGTAAGTTTCTCCTCTATGAACTTGATTTTGTTATTGTGAGTCTGATTCTTTCATATTCTGATAGATGGTACAGGCATTCTTAGAAACTTATGCTAGATTATTGTTGGAAGGAATTTCATAGAGGGTGTGTTTTTAATTTTTAATGCTTTACCAATGGCGTAGTAGTAGTTACTTCTAGCGGAGCCTGCAGGAGGTCTGATTAAGCATTTGGGAACATGACACATCATTCTTTTTACTGGAAAGTCAAAAGTGGAGGTCTTTGTTTATGCAATGTGATTGCCAAACAAATTATAAAAAATGAAGAAGTGTTAATGTGTTATTCAGCATGGTGGTCCTTGTTTATGCAATGTGATTGCCAAACCAATTATAAAAAATAAAGTGTTAATTAATGTGTTATTCACAGCATGTTTTTTTATGATGTATTACCAAAATTCATCATATTGCACGAGTACTTGACAGGAGTTTCTGTTAACAGGTGCCCCAGCCATGACTTCTAGGGGCTTGGTTGAAAAAGACTTTGAGCAGATTGGAGATTTCCTTCACCGTGCAGTGACCCTCACGCTGGAGATCCAGAAAGAGCATGGCAAACTTTTGAAGGATTTCAACAAGGGCTTGGTGAACAATAAGGCTATTGAAGATCTCAAAGCTGATGTTGAGAAGTTTTCAGCCTCATTCGATATGCCTGGTTTCCTAGTATCCGAGTTGAAGTACAAGGATTAGGTTGAGTAATGCAACTCTCTCTCCTCCCAAATGTCTTAATGTACTGGGCAAGATGGGGAAATGGAGAAACAGATAACGAGTTTTCTCTTTTTGGGTGTCAAATAGGCAAGCTTGATGGTTTTCCGATTCAATTTGAAGTTTGTCTTTGTTGTTATGATTTTGTATGCCTGATATAATATTTTCTCAATAACAAATGAAATATTACGTGTACTATTAGAGGCTGAAGTTTTAGCGTAGTCAATGATGGAGAAATAAAAAGCATACGAATGTTATGGGAAAGCTTTATTTGTTGTGGTTCTTTAAAAGTGCGCCTATAATTGGACTGATCTATTAAGATCTATTTGATACAATAAAGAATGAAAAATAACGAAAGGTATTTTTCTATTTTAATGTCAGTATTTTGATTTAATGGCCTCAGTTTTCGAAATGCATAAAAGATCATCGAGGCATTATATCTACCATCATTCTTTGCTACAAGTAAAAAGTAACTATCCAAGAAAAGGTCACGTAGAACTTTGATTAAGAGTATTTTTGTTTTGGATTTAAAGAAAAGCAATTTTATAATAGAAATTTTTATTAATTATTTTTCCAAACAGTTCATTGAAAACTTGACCAATTAGGTTTCATTAGTCCAATGTCTATATGGTGGATGACTTTTCCAAAGACCAATTTGAGAACTTTGTTAAGGGAGATAAGCTAATTATCACTTAAATCAACAGTTGTTGATTAAATTAATATTTTCAACTTCTCAGAATTTTTTTTTTAAATATTTTTATTTAAAAAAAACTTGTTTAATTGGGATAAACTATACTTACAACTATTTTTTTCTTATAACTTACAAATATTTTGTTATCATTAGATCAAAATAAAATCAACAACTCATTTAATATTATTTCGTAACCGTTAATTTAATTTGAATCCAACGATAATAATAATAATTGTAAGGGAGAAGTAATTATAAATATAACCTCTCTAATTATTATGAAAAAAATTAAACATATTAATCAATAACCATTGATTTAAGTGATAAGAAGCTTATTTCCTTGATAAGAGATTTTAATTCTGAGTCTTGAAATGAGAAGCTTATCAGTTAATTTAAGGGATAAAATCATTTAATTAACTGGGACCACCCATCTTCAGCATGTTTAATTAAGATACAGCATAAATCATTTGAGGCATATGCCTTTGGGGCTCTGGTATTAGAGAACAGATTCGCCAATCGTCCAACAAGTAACTTACTAGATAAAGTCCGTCCTTCAGTCATAAATCTCCTGGGATTCGATTATGCTGTGCTGACTGAAAATACGAGATAGAGAAGTTAAGGAAGCATTGCACACAGAATTTTCTCATTCTATAATGATAAAGAAAATTGGTGAGTATGTGATACAGGAGTAACATGAAAACAAATGAAACATTATTATTGCCGCCCTTACTGGTCATCTTTTGCGACTCGATAATATCTCTCCGCATGCTGGCGCTGACCAATCAGTTGAGCAAAACGCTCATCATGAGTAATTACAATTAGCTGAAAATTTTCCTGGCCTTTCCTGTCCTCCATGATCCTGCATGTTAAGGAAGATAAAAGCAGATGAATAACAATAATTAACTCATTATTAGCAATTTAATCAAAAACTAGACAATCTATTCACACACTGATACGGACCAACCACTAATTAACAGAGCTAAAAGGGAATTAACACAGAAACTGAGATCTGAATATTCAACCTTCGTATATTTAATAGCAATTGATTACAGACAGAGACTTAATAACAGAAATACTTGCGGGAAATCAGAAATTACAATGACTCTAAATGAAATCACAATGCAGAAAATGTAAGATAGTGTGAAACACATATGAGAGGTTCCACTCTCTCCCAATCCCAAAAAGGGCCCAAGCAATTCCCAAAGATTCCAGATGTCCCCTTTCCTTGCTGCCTCCCATCTATATAACAAACTCAATGACACTCATGCTCTATTCTGTTGGAGGGCATTCCAGTCAATATCTTCACTTGTTAATAGCATTACCAATTTGGGTCAATTATTGCATTTGAGGCCCAAACCAAAGTGGGTTCGTATCAATACTCCCCCCCTAACAATCACCTTGTCCTCAAGGTGATGATCATTTTCCGGGGTCCCATTGCTTGAAATGTATTGGCCAACTAATCCATGAGATAATATAACCTCCACCCGGATCCCATTGTCCATCATCATGTAACACCAAGAAATAATATATTATGCCAAGAACAGTGCCCATTATGTCAAATTGAAGAAATCTTACCAAAACAGCACCTATATCTCCACTTTTCAACAAACTGATCCACCGTGAGGTCGTCTAAAACATGCTTTTCATAGCTCATAAATGCATCCAAAGAACCCCGAAAGAATATTGATTGTGCAGCACTGTTAGACCATAAATGAATTGCAAAAGAAAGAGAGTCCAAGGTATAGGCCTGGTCTCTTATAAAAAATCCTCCAAAAGAAAAAATATGCTTCCACCCAAATTGTCGTGAATTCAAGCAAGATATATGAGCAATATTATACCAAATCATTCGTAAAAGAGAGAATGATATGTCTCCAGGTCTATAATCTCAAGCTCCATTTTTTCTGATATAGCCTTGCCAGAATTTGAAATAAAGGTAGGAACTAATAAACCAATCTTAAAATAGTCCATACCACCATAAATGTTCCTCAATAGTGTCTCCCACCACCATGGAACGGGGATGACAGCAGTTCCAAACCATATCTGTCCATCTTGAAGACCTTTAGCCACAATAAGGCCTCTCACTTTCCTAACATTGTCATCATGGCATGATCCATATACAAGTGACGCTATTGCATTCATGGATGCCCACTGGATTTCCTCCACCTGTTCCTTAAATGCTGTGTCAAACCAAATTCTTTCCATTGAATCCTTTGGTCGAGCATGTTGTGAATGTTTGCAAGGATCATCTTTCCATATATAATGACTGACTTCATCTTGACCCCAGGTATTACCTGCTTCCAAATCTGAACGAGCAAGACATGACAGAACCTCCACCTTTTGGCCAGAAATTTCCCCCCAATCCTTTAAGGTTTTGTTTGAAGTGAGCCCTAGCAAACTAAAAGAGAGTTGCAACTCCCTTTCTGACTCTCGCTCCTCTGGGTTAACGGTTAGAACTCTGTCCATCTCAGCCTGCTCCCCCTCTTCCGCGTCGTCGTCCTCCACTAACAACAGATGCAGCTGCCGTACCTGACACCTGTTGTTGGGATTCCAACGTTCGTTACCTTTGAAGCATAACTCCAGATCCTGCTGTTCACGCAGCTCCGCCGGAGACAGTAGGCGACCCTGATCGGAGGAAGCCTCCGACGCTTGGTTACCCATGACTGAGTTTGACGTCTTCGCTGTAGATCCCTCCTTCACATTTTCGTTTGCCTTATTTCTTGTGGCTGTCGGACCAGAGTTAGGGCTCATATTATTTGACTGAATTTCGTTTTGGGCCGTTTGAACTTCCCTGGCCCATGTGGGTATTTCCCCATCCTCTGGCCTCATTTGGGCTTGAACCCGCACGCAAGCCCAACGAGCGAGGAGCCCAATTTTTGGCCATCAATCCCCAACCCTCATCTCTCCACGCTACGTTTCGCTTCTCTATTTTGAGAGAGAACTTCATCGTCTTCGACAAACTTAGATGGGGGTACATCAGAAGTTCTTCGCGTATACTGGCACGCACCCCATTCAACCATGCTCTAGGTCTTCATCTTCAAATCGTAGAGCTCCTACCATCTTCTCAAATTCTGTCCGAAATTCAGCCACACTTCTGCTCTGTTTAAGGGTGTACAGAGCACCATATGGATTGTCTAAGGCCTCCGGTTGGAAACGGCTGAATAACTCTCGTCGGAACAGTCCCCAGGTGGCGTTTGGATTGCCCACCTCCCACCATCGACACCAATGGAGTGCCTCGCCTTCCAGACACACCACCACTGCCGCTAGCTTCTCTCCTTCGGTCACACCGTTCACAACGAAATACCTCTCCATCTTACATAGCCAACCCGTAGCGTCTTCTCCTGCAAACACCGGAACCTCCAACCGTCGGGTCAACAGAATATTCAGATTAACTCTTCGTCGATTTCGTTCCTCCCGTGTATTTATTTTGTCGTCCTCTAATTCGTTCTCTCCATCTCTGGAACGACCTTGCCTATGTCCGGCCATTTCGTCCAGCCTTCTGATAATCTCCGTCATTCCCCTTTCATTGTTGCCTAGCCTCTGAAGAATCTGCTCCTGTAGAGCTTCATTAGCGTCCAGTCTCAAATGAACCTCTTCTTGTCGAACACACCCTCTGCGCAGCCCTTCTTCCAACGTATCCAATCGGCTTTCCATTTGTCTAGTCCAGACCATCCCACAGAGCTCCAAGATCGGAGCTCTGATACCAATTGATACGGACCAACCACTAATTAACAGAGGTAAAAGGGAATTAACACAGGAACTGAGATCTGAATATTCAACCTTCGTATATTTAATAGCAATTGATTACAAACAGAGACTTAATAACAGAAATACTTGCAGGAAATCAGAAATCACAATGAATCTAAATGAAATCACAATGCAGAAAATGTAAGATAGCGTGAAACACATATGAGAGGTTCCACTTTCCCAATCCCAAAAAGGGCCCAAGCAATTCCAAAGATTCCAGATGTCCCCTTTCCTTGCTGCCTCCCATCTATATAACAAACTCAATGACACTCATGATTGGAGGGCATTCCAATCAATATCTTCACGTGTTAACAGCATTACCAATTTGGGTCAATTATTGCATTTGAGGCCCAAACCAAAGTGGGTTCGTATCACACACCTTAGGAGAGCAGCAGCCAGACTTTCGGCATTTGGTCCATCCAGATTTGTGGTTGGTTCATCCAATGCTAGTATTCCACAATTGAGGCAAAACGTTTCAGCTAAAGCCAATCGTATGATAAGAGACGCCAGGACCTGCAACCTCACAATTTAGTCATGCTTATTTATTTATTTATTATCTTTTTAATAAAAGAGAAAAGTAAAAAGAATACTAGACATAGCAATCCCTTCAGTAATAACATACCTTCTGACCCGCACTGCATCTTCCTCTCATTTCTAACTCTGCATCACCAGTCTGCATGAGAACCTGTATGGAATGCAAAAGAACAATATTCCAAAATTTGTGAGACAATTAGACAGCTTTTGCAGGAATTAGCATTTCAATATAAAGATGTCAAACCTTGTAACTATAGGAACGGGTCCCAGCACCTTCGGAATCTGAATGAATACAAATGTAGTCTATATCCTGTCCTCTATAAGTTTGTTGCCACAATTCCCTTATAATTTTGTTGATTTCTTCCATTTTCATTGTGTGGAAGCGCATCAGTGCTCTGAAAAAAGAATCATAAGGAACACAAATAAAAGTAGACTTTGATTTATATTTTAACACATAAATATCTAAATTTGTTGATAAGTTCCACCTTATTGATTAGTACTTGAAGACCAGAAATGGTCAATTGTATGTCAAACATAATATGCTTTTCTTTCATAATTTGTATTTGTATGTCAAACATCATAATCAGCTCAAAAACAGACGATAAACACAAAAAGTGAGAATACAAATTTAAAGAACTGCTCGAAAAGAAATGCATTTCTCTGCTTTGACCTTATTATACTTTTGATTCTCCTGGTTCTAGTATAGTTTGATCTTGGGTTTGGGCCCCCCTCGTTTCAATTGCAACAATGTTGGGTTTGTATCCCCCTCGACTTGATAATGCTTTTTGCTAATGTGGTACTTTGATCGACTTTATTAAGGTCAAAATTACATGTCACAATGCCAAATCAACAAAGGGAACTACGTCGATGTCGATCACCGAAGAGGACTTAATTGCACCAATTCAAAACCTATGAGGACAACATTGTCACAATTCAAGCTAAATAACTAGTGGGATCAAATTCAAACAATAGTGTTGAAGGGACCTAAAGTGTAATTCAGCCTCCTCCTTTTTCAAGTCAGGAAGAATAGTGCATATGCACTTACATACACAACACGTGACATAACCACAGCATGCAACTGGCCAAGCAAAACATAATATAAACATAGTAATAACAAACATATCCAGCACTACCCAACAGCTTGTACAAAAGCTGCCAAGCGACATTGACACCTCACAATGCAAAATGAGGATGCTATATGTCTCACAGCTTTTGAAGCACAAGAAACAAACCATGAGAGAAAGGGTCTTACGAGCTCAAAAGAGGTGGTGATACGGTTAAGCCATGTAAATGGTTTGGGATGGCTTATGAAAGAGGAGATCATTGGGGATCACAGCTGCTCTCAACCGTATATGTTGACTCAGTAGAGGATAGTTGGGAGGGAATCCGTTGGTTAGAGTCACACTCCTGGTGTATCTGAAGAAGGCTGGTATCAAATAGCAAGAGAGGCATCATTTTGGGGGGATCCAGGACATTTGGGATTTGGCTTGGACTTGGGAGAGAACCAGAGTCTCTCAAATTGCTCTGGCTTAGTTTCTACATCTATTTCTTTTCAGTAATTTCTTTCCTGTTAATTGTACTCTTTTCCTTTTGTTAAAGACAGCTGTACTAAATTTGGTAGAGTCTTGCTAGATTCAACTTGATCAATTAAGTTTTCTATCTTACTCTTTGATTTGGAACTTTGACACTTATCAGGCGGCCTTATTGATCTATTAATTATACATTGCAAAGCCATGACTAGCCTATGACAAATAATACAAACTTGACAGATGGAGCGGTAAACACTACTGAATTTTAATAAACTTACTTATCAAGGGCACTGTAGTATCTGTCCAGATCCTTGTTTGCCATTTCAGTTGTCTGAAAAAAAAAGTTGACTAGTCAACAATATAGAATGAATATTAAAGAAGAAAGTGTACAAGTACAGTATAACAGTAGATTACACCTTAAGCTGGATAAGCTGGTCAAAGTATCGGTTATCTATGTCCTTGTATTGAGGCTGCTTAAGATCAATCTTATTTTTGGAAATATTGCTCTTGTAAACAGACATGGTTCCATGACACCTGTTTAACTGTCACCAAGGTAAAAGGTACACAACCAAAAATAGGGAGAAGCAAGATGTGTCAATTCTATACTAGAAGGTAAAGCACATAACTATTGAAGATGGGAACATATAAATGGTAAAATGTCTATCAATCAATCACGGTAGTTGGCTAAACTAATTACAGATTGCAAGCATAGAAGTATGACTCAGGGATTTGAAATTACCTCTGAAAGAAGCCTCTCCCTCTCCTGTGATAGTTTCTGGAGTTCAGTTTCAAATGTGTAAACCCCACCAACCTTCAATATATTTTCTTCCAGTGTTTCAATTTCGCATGCTAGCTCATCTACTTCAGCCTTTGTTTTCCTGTAATTTAAGTTGTCCTCAATATTTCTTTTTAATTGATCTTGATTTCGCATCAAATCTTTACTTTTGTTTAGTTCAGCAAAAATTTCCTGCTTCCTGGTATCACAACTTTGAAGTTGAGATTCTGATAGAGATTTCTTTTCCTGCAGTTCCTTCAACCTATCTCCTTTCTTTAAATCAGAGTACCTGGACAAACAATACTCGTGTTAAAGAAAAGTGGACTCCTAAAAACTAACATTTTTCAAGCTGATAAAGCTTACTCTTTAATCTTAGAAGTCATTTTAAAGAGTGCTTCGACGTCTTGCTGATAACTTCTCTTTTGTTCAACAAGGTCTTCATACTGGCGGTTAAGTCTGATTTTCAGTTCATTATGATCAGCAAGTAATTTATCCTTTTCCTTGGATAAAGGTCCAAGAGCTTCTGCCAAATGCTGCAAATACCAAGGTTTTGAGTGTAATTATACATTGACTTGGTCAAGAGAGAGAAAAAGACTTCAGCATTTTAAAAAGAGTAGTTACAAATAAATCAATTAATAAATTTGGGAATTTTGATTGAGGCAATGTTTTGGAAAAAAAGAAGTCAAATTTTTTTTCTCTATAAATAAACACAATTTGAACATAATGAATTGGGAGATAAAGTATACACAATGCACCAAAAATAGTTTAGAAAGAAATAAACAATAAACAATTGCATGTTCTGTGTTGAGAGAATTAATCATTTTATTGAATTTTCTTTTAAATGTGTGTGTGTGTAAGGTACTCAAACACATGGAGAGGGGTAACAAGGTAATTGCACATGCTTATAACTTATAAGTACCCATCAATGTGTCAAATAATTAAACAACCTTTTCATCAAGATCAACTTGGGTCTTTTTTTCAGTCAAATGTTCTAATTCTTCTTCTACCCTTTTAACATTCTGCAGTGTATTAGCTGCTTTCAATTTCTCCTCCCTTAGAGTATGCCACCGCATTTGAATATTTGATAGATCATTCTCCATATACCTCTGTTCTTCCCTTAACTTCTCCAATCCAGAATGCAAATTGTCCCTTTTAACCAAGATATGCATGGAAATAATGTTAAGAATAAGCAATATCAAACCATGTAAAATCCATAGGATATATAGGCAATTTGGAACGGCAGATGATATTAAGTTGATGAAAATCAATTATCTTAGTGGACCTAGATTAAAATTGGCCATGTTAGTAAATAGTAGAAATTAAAGGAAGCTGCTTATTATCAAAAAAAAAAAAAAAGGAAGCTACTTACTTTGTGCCCTGCAATGCGTTAAGCTCCAATTCAATTTCTTTCATAGTCCTCACTGCTTGTCCTCGAAAATCAAGCTTGTATACTAAATCCTCAACTTGCTTTTGCAAAGCTTGAGTTTCTTGGAAAAGTCGATCAGCGGTTTCAATAGGTTGCACCAATGCCTCAACCAAATCCTTGTCAGTCTTTACTTGAGCTAAAACACCTAAAACCTGAAACAAAGTTACAGCAGTTGTATAAGCTAAAACAAATTAACACCAAGAAAGAAGGGATCTGCGTTTAGAAAAGGCAGTGACAAGTATGGAGGTATTGTCTACTTAAAAGAAATTTCAAGGAAATTAAAAGAGATTATGATTATTACATCATCAAGCGCTTGAGATTTGTGATCCAGCTCTTCCGTGAGTTGCTGGAGTTCCTTTTCAGCATTAGGGATTGTCTCCTTGCTAAGTTTAACATACTCTTCATAAACCATACGAAGCTTGTCCAACTGCTGATAATGAGAGTCAGCATTTGAGGACTCCACAGCAAGAACTTTCATATGTTCAGCTGAACTAGCAGCCTTCACTCGTTGCTGTCATTACAAGAAAAAGAAGCCAATTAAAAACCATATAAAGTGTTTGCTCAAAGCCAACAGATAATATTATAATAGATGTGAAATCTTCCAACCTTCTTAACAAAATCATCTTCTTCTTCTGCAGAGAAAGGGCGCTCACAGCACGGGCATACATGATGAGCTCTGGCAACCCTTTCAAAAGGATCAAACATTTGCCGCATACCATCAGCAATGTTATGTTTGCTGCAAGGAATCACCAGATAAAGCATCAGTACATTTTAGACTACCAAATCAGTGACAACACAAACATCAGCTTGATATGATCACAAAGATGACTTCATGAAATTGTGGTCTGGCATAAGTTTACCTTTTCTGGACATCTCTTTTCTCCTTAGAAGACTCCAAAACTTTAAGATAAGAGTCAATTCCAGAGCATTGCTGATCGAAAGACTGAAGCTTGGATTCAATAAATCTCTTTCTTGCTGCAAATAAATAAATAAATATAAATAGTGCATATTAGCATATAAACAACTAAGGCTTTGTATTAGTTTACTGGTTTACTGTACTGCTGTAGTATTGTTTCTATGGTGTGTCACACACCTGATTATTACTCATTCTGTTAGAGTTTGATTTTGTTAGAGTTTGTTACTTCTTGTTAGGATGGTTATCTGCTGAGTCAGCAACACCTGATCTATAAATAGGTCTCTCTGTATCAGTTCATTACTGAATATACATTTTACATCAGAATCATATCAATGACTTCTCTCTCTCTCTCCCTCTTTCTCTTCTGTATACATCTCTATTATGGTATCAGAGCCTTCGATCTGAAGGTCTGATCCATATAGAGCCTATTCATGTCTTCCGCTTCGGATTCACCTTCCTCCAATCGAGAATCCTCACATCACGAATCTTCACATCACGAATCTTCATCTCATCCATCGTCACGTGCAAAACCAGTTTCGAAGATGGAGAACAAAGCTCCACAACTGTTCAATCAACAGATAACAGTGAAATTGACGGAAGAGAATTACTTGTTGTGGAATCAAATTGTAGATCCAATCATCACGTCACATCAGATGCATCATTTCTTGGTTAATCCTAAGATACCTCTTCAATTTCTGTCAGAAGATGATCGAATCAGTGATGTCCAGAATCCTGAGTATGTGGAATGGATAACACAAGACTCAATGCTTCTGTCTTGGCTTCTTCAACCGTTTCAGAATCGATTCTGAACGAGATATTAGGAGTAAAGTTTTCATATGAAGCGTGGGACAAAATACACAAATTGTTCCAAGGAATGATGAAATCAAAAGCAAGGTTGCTGAGATCTGAATTACACGCCATCAAAAAAGGATCAAAGACTGTGAAGGAGTTCCTTTCTCGAATCAAAGGTATTTGTAATTCTCTCAAGTCAATAGGAAGTCCAGTTAGTAATGAAGAGTGTTCAGATATTATACTTGGAGGATTACCAGCTGAATACATGGCGTTTATTGCGTCTGTTCATGCGCGCGAAAATGCTTACTCCGTTGAAGATTTGAGTATTCAATTGATGACTCATGAACAAATACTAATGAGACAATCAGAGGCGTTGATTTCAGAATCTGCAGCAGTGAATTTGACTCAGCATAATTCAGAAGCTGGAAAACAGAGTAACAATAGCAATGGTGTGAACAGTGACACTCTGTTTGCCCCTGTTTTACGTACCCAGGAACAGAGCACTGGTTTTCACAACTCCAGTCGCTCATATGTGCCAAACAGAGGCAGGGGACGTTATGGAGAACGCAACTACAATAGAGGAAGAGGACGTGGGGCAAGTGGAGGAAGATCTAATGTTTGTTGCCAACTTTGCTATAAGTTTGGACATGATGTTCAAACTTGTTGGCATAGATTTGATGAGCACTTTGTTCCCACTCTTCCACCACCCAACATCACCTCTCATTCTCAATTTTTTCCTCAGATGTTTGCTCAGGTTCAGACAAATCAGATACCTCAACAGCGTCATTCCTTCCAGTATGTTCGTCCTCAGAGTGTGCAACCACAAGCTATGATTACTGCTCAATCTGGAATTCTGCCCACACCTGCACCTGCCTTGGAATGGTATCCTGATTCTGGTGCAACACATCATGTCACCTCCAATCCTCAGAATCTGATGCAGAGTCAGCAATTGAGTGGTGCAGACCAAATACTGATAGGCAATGGCCAAGGTTTGGCTGTCACAACTATTGGTTCCTCCAATTTTTCTTCTCCCTTTGACACACACACACACTTGCGTTTTACAAATCTCCTTCTTGTTCCTTCCATTATGAAAAATCTTGGGAGTGCCAGCCAATTTGCCAAAGATCATTCTGTGTACTTTGAATTTCACCCTTCCTTTTGTCTTGTTAAATCACAGGGGACACACAAAGTCTTTCTTGAAGGTATCCTTGACTCTAGTGGTCTTTATAAATTCAACGGAATCAATCTTCATCAAACACCAACTCATGCTCCACAAAGTGTCTCATGTACTCCCTTTCAGCAGCCTTCAAGCTTGATATCTCCTATTTGTAATACTGTTTCTTCACCAGTATCTTCAGTTTGTAATAGTAATAATCCAGTGACTGCTACTCAGTCTTCTGAGCTAGGAACTTCTGTTTACTCAATGTGGCATTGTCGTTTAGGACATCCACATAAAGAAATTCTTAAATCTGTTCTTCAAGCTTGTAATATACCTGTGAATAATAAAGCTGTTGAGATGTTTTGTTCAGATTGTTGCATTGGTAAGGCCCATTGTTTGCCCTCTTCCCCCTCACATACTGTTTACAATACTCCCTTTGAATTGATATACAGTGACCTATGGGGCCCTGCTCCTATAAAATCCATGATGGGACACTTGTACTATATTTCCTTTGTTGATGCAAATACTAGATTTATGTGGATTTATCCTTTGAAACAGAAGTCAGATGCACTTCAAACTTTCAAAAAATTTCACTCTCTAGTACAAACACAATTCAATGTCTCTATCAAGTCCATCCAAACCGATTGGGGAGGGGAGTTTCGATCCTTTACTCAGTTTCTTCTTCTTCATGGAATCAACCATAGAATAGCATGCCCTCACACCCATCATCAGAATGGAGTGGTAGAGAGAAAGCATAGGCATATTGTTGAAACTGGTCTCACTATGCTCTCTTCTGCCTCTCTACCAATGAAGTATTGGGATTATGCATTTATTTCTGCTGTATATCTTATTAATAGGTTACCTACAGCAGTACTGGATTTTCAAACTCCCTATACAAAGTTGTTTCATGTTATACCTGATTACAAATTTCTCAAAAATTTTGGTTGTGCTTGCTTTCCCTTTCTCAGACCATACAATAAGCACAAGCTGGAATTTAGATCTCAAGAGTGTATCTTCCTTGGCTATGCTCCCAATCATAAGGGTTACTTGTGTCAAAATCCAGATGGTCGTGTCTTTATTTCAAGGGATGTTTTATTTAATGAACATAGGTTTCCATTTCCTCTATGGAATATTAAGCCTGGCTTCCCTAATGCATCTATAGTTCCTGCTTCTATTCCTCTTACTGTTCTTCCCAATTTTAATGTTCACCAACCATTCACCTCTTTTCCTACTAATGCAACACATTCTGATCACAACACTCATCCTGTTCACAGGCTTGATGAACCAGCTATTGTCTCCCCTACTCCTCAACCTGCTTTGTCACAATCTCCAGTTCTGTCATCTTCTGTACCAATTATGTCCCCTACTTCTGTCTCACCTCCTCAAGATAATTCCTCCAATTCTGGTCAGTCTTGTTCCCCAGTACTCTTGTCACCAATTTCTTCCTCCTCACCTTCCTCCTCTTCTGATTATCAGCCATCACAAACAGTGAGTCTTTCCTCTTCCCCTCACTCTATCACTACAAGGTCCAAGAGCCTAGCCAGATCTCTTGCTCTCCTCACTCATATGGAACCTGTAACTGTTAAACAAGCCTTGGCCAGCCAACAATGGCTGGATGCTATGAAGGCAGAATATAAAGCTTTACAATCTAATCATACTTGGACTCTTGTTTCTCTTCCTCCTACCAGGAAAGCTATAGGCTGCAAATGGGTGTTTAAAATAAAGGAGAATCCAGATGGGACAGTCAACAAGTATAAAGCTCGCCTAGTTGCTAAGGGGTTTCATCAACAAGAAGGTTTTGATTACTCAGAAACCTTTTCTCCTGTTGTCAGGCCAGTAACAGTAAGAATTATGCTCACTCTGGCTCTCACATTTGGCTGGTCATTAAGGCAATTAGATGTGAATAATGCCTTTCTCAATGGAGACCTCACTGAAGATGTTTACATGGTACAGCCACCAGGTTTTGAGGTTAATAATAAAACTCTGGTTTGTAAGCTCAATAAGGCCTTGTATGGCCTTAAACAAGCTCCTAGAGCTTGGTTTGATAAGCTCAAACAAGCTCTCTCAGACTTTGGCTTTAGGTCCAGCTGTGACCCCTCTCTCTTTATTCTTCGTGATGCTCACAGATCTATATATGTGTTGGTATTTGTAGATGACATTATTGTGACTAGGAATGATCCTCACTTTATTCAACAACTGATCCGTGCCTTGAGTTCTAAATTTGCTCTCAAAGATCTTGGAGTTTTGGAGTATTTTTTGGGTATAGAAGTCAAGAAACATTCTACTGGTGCTATTTCTCTTTCTCAATCTAAATACATCGGAGACCTTTTGGCTCAGGCTAATATGTCAGATGCAAAAAGCATTGCTTCTCCTATGGCTACTAGTTGCAAATTGACAAGGCATGGCTCCAATTACTTTGATAATCCTCATCACTATCGCTCTATTGTTGGTGCATTGTAGTATGCTACTATAACAAGACCTGAGATCAGTTTTGCTGTCAATAAAGTGTGCCAGTTCATGGCAGAACCTTTACTTGATCACTGGCTTGCTGTCAAACGTATACTCAGATACCTTAAAGGGACTGTTTCTTATGGTCTCTTGCTTCAGCCAGCCTCTGCACATTCCATTTTGCCTCTCACAGCCTTTTGTGACGCTGACTGGGCTGGTGACCCTGATGACTGCAGGTCTACATCAGGTGCATGCCTCTTCCTTGGTCCTAACTTGGTCTCTTGGTGGTCCAAGAAACAATCCTTGGTGGCCAGGTCTAGTACCGAGGCAGAATACAGAAGTTTGGCCGTTGCTTCAGCTGAAATTTTGTGGATTTAGTCGCTTCTTCGTGAGCTTCATGTTCCCTTGGCCACTCCACAAGTCTATTGTGATAATCTCAGCACTGTTGCACTATCCCATAACCCGGTTTTACATGCCAGAACCAAGCACATGGAGTTGGACATTTTCTTTGTTCGTGAACGGGTCTTATCTAAGGATCTTATTGTTTCTCACATTCCAGCCACTGATCAGTTAGCTGACACTCTCACCAAGCCTCTTTCTGCTCCCAAGTTTGCTGACTTAAGATCCAAACTCAGAGTTCTGGATGTTTTTCAACTCCATCACTCCTGAGTTTGAGGGGGCATATTAGCATATAAACAACTAAGGCTTTGTATTAGTTTACTGGTTTACTGTACTGCTGTAGTATTGTTTCTATGGTGTGTCACACACCTGATTATTACTCATTCTGTTAGAGTTTGTTACTTCTTGTTAGGATGGTTATCTGCTGAGTCAGCAATACCTGATCTATAAATAGGTCTCTCTGTATCAGTTCATTACTGAATATACATTTTACATCAGAATCATATCAATGACTTCTCTCTCTCTCTCTCTCCCTCTTTCTCTTCTGTATACATCTCTATTAGTGCAAAACATTGTGTTCAATAATTATTTAAAATATAAAGAATGTAAAGTACACAAATAATACTAAAACAAAAAAATTAAAGTCATTCCTTATTTAAAAGAAAATTCTAATTAAGTGTCCACAAGATAAGTAAACTACCAATGAACCATTGCAACATAACAGATGCAGAACTCAAAACACTGATTTCCCTAAAAAAACCAACAATATTTACATACAACTTCTTTGAATGATAGATAGCACATACATTCCAAATCCTTGTGGTGCTTTGATAGGTTACTGTTAACTTCTTGTATTTTCATCTGCAACATATTGACTTCCTTCTCAGCTTCACGGTACTTCACATTCAAGTCATCGAATTCAGCTCCAACAGTCCTACACCACAAAAAGCATCAATACCAGGGAATTCATGATCAACATAAACAAACAAACAGCTTTTTCTATCAGACAACCATAAGCATGCAAAACCAAAAAGTTAACAGCAAAAGCACCTAAGGCACTCAGAATAATAATATTACTTTCAAATGCCATGTGCATGGTCTCTCTGATGTTTGATTTACTAAAGTAGAAGCTCCTAACTCAATCAATTTTCATACTAAAATCCATATATCTCAACCAAAAAGCATGAAATTTTCATGATTGTTAGAACCAGACAAGCAGCAGAGAATAAGGACAGGTAAAACCAACATAGAATATAACATGTTCAACCAACACCAAACCACAGGACTACTCCACGGGAAAAACAGAAAATTCATTATGATCAATGATGATTACAAGAAGCTTCTGTTCGACACTCTAACCCTAATCCAACGGTAAAAGATATTCTGTAATAACCTTACTACTGAAATTTCACGATAAGATGAAAACACCTTAATGGGTCAAGCCCAAATCTAAATAGACACGTTTGCTGGATTATGGGGAATTAGGTTAGAGTATAATGCTATACTATTCAGAAAAAAATTTAGTCCAGGCAGATTCTAAAATATAGGGTTGTTTTCATAGCTTCTTTGGGGATTTCGGCTCCTGGTTTCATTAATTAGGGAGTTCCTTTCTAATTTTTATACGGATTGAAGAGCTCCTTTGAGCAAATTTAGTTTTACCTCTCCTTCTTGTTTTAAAGTAGGAAGATTATTGATCCCTGACTTATGCACCCTGCTCTACTTTCAATAAATACTTGCATCAGAAGAAAAAAATAATGAAGAAAAATAAAAGGCCAGGCCCGTTTGCCATTTTAAAAATAAATCAGAAAAGAAAATATTAGTATAATAGGGAAAACAGAGGCATAGTGTGCACATAATTAATAATCCAACTAACACATTTCTTCTCATTCAAATAGTAGTAGAACAGACTAGCTACAGAAACACTACAAACTGAAATTTCTTAAAGATAGTATGATAAGTAAGACACACAATGATAGAAAAGGTTTCCCCTACCTTATTGCTTGCGTAATTTCCTTCTTCACATCCTTATCAAGAGGAACCCTCCCTTTTAGCGCCCTTCTTATTTTATCCTTCTGGTCATCAATTCTGTAAAGAAGAATAAACAGATGATCATCAACTTCTAAATATATAACTAAATAAAAAGATAATCAATCTACATCTTTCTATGTTTCTTCTTCTGATTCTCCAACTCTGCCTCCATAAGAGATAACTTCACTCTGTCCTCTGAATCAGAAGCCATTATATCCTTCTCTCGATTGACAGCCTTAATCTTTTGTTCCATACTATATAGCTCACTTTGCCTTTGACGTATATTTTTTTCAAATTCTCTTTCAGCGAGTTGGTTTGTCTTCCTCTCAACCTCAATTTGCTGCAAGCATTACATGAAATTATGTTAATCAAATTTTCTGGATGTTTAAAATTAAGCTTATAAACAACCAAATAACACCAAAGAGCAGGCTGCACTCACCAAATTACTTTCTCTTTCATCTATACGAGAAAGATTTACATTAGAAATTTGAAGTTCAAATGAATCACGCTCCATTTCCTTCTCTTTAATGCTCTTTAACAAGCCACTCTGAATGTATAACAAACTATTAACATTGTACAAGTAACATACAGACATTTGACAATAAATGGATGCATTCACACACCAAACCTTGATCTCTATCTTAGCTTGTTTTTCAGCCTCAGTATTTTTCCAACGGTCATATGCTTTTATGTAGCATTCCCATGCAATCTTGAGTTCATTGTCATTTGCTTTCTGCACAAAAAAAGAGGGGAAAAAAAAGAGAGTCAGTCCCCCCATAATTCAGAAGCCCCGAGGATATTTTAGAATATGTAACATTATTAATATATTCAATAATCATGTTGTTTCTTCTTTTCAAAATGGCGAAAATAATTTGAAAATTATGTCAATTTAGAGAAGCAGAATCTTCAAATAAGAAAATAAATTCATTAGAGAAAAGAAAGAAAGTGCCGGAGCATTAAGATAAGATATCCTGCTAAAGATAACACTAAAAAAAAGAAACACATCAAGTGAGTACAGCATGCCAATCTCTCTCTGTATAGCCAGTACAGAAACCCTCTATGGTAGCCGCTAGCCGAGTACCACAAGCTAAGAAGATCCATTATCCCAAACATTCAGTTATTGCGAGAAATCATGATTGAAAATTCTGCCATCTCATTTTCTCTCCAATCACATGCACATAATAGTGAATATATATAAACCGAAAGGAAGAACAGACGAGTCACCTTTCTATCTTGCAGATCCTTTTCAAGATTCACCAACCTTGATTTTATTCGATTAGTGAGGTTTAAAGCAACCTCATCACCGAAGGGTGACTTTGGAAGAGACCCTAAATTATACCCAGCAAAAAGATTTTCAATGGAGGAATCACGTTCAATCTTCAAAGACATGTGAGCCTGCAGTTCAAATTAGAGACAAAATTACAAAAAACATTCCACACAACTGGATGTCAGTATAGGCATCAACTTGAGTATCAATTCATTTACTTCTGCTTCAATTTGTAGCTTGCTAATCTCCCAGATGGAATCATCAATGGTCTGTTTGAGGAAAGAACTTTTAGTGTCAGTGTCAGCCATCTCTCTTTCCAACTTGCTTATTTTTGTTTCTAAAATTGCAATCCTTTCTTCAAACTTGGTCTTCCATTCAATCAACTCTTCATCAGTGTCTGATCAATTCAAGAAGCACAAGAAAACATGAGAAACTTAGAAATATATTATGAAGGCAATATCTGAGATGTAAATCCAATAAGATTGAAACTATAACAAGATAGAAAAACTAAGATAAATATTTTTTAAAACCGGCTCAATGATGGTAATACATATACCATGGTCAACACACCTTCATTCTCCTCAGCAAGAGCAGCATATTGTTTCTGTTGTTCCTTAAACAGAGTGCTTCGTTGAGCAGTCTTAGTTGATATCTGGTCCTGCAGCTTCCGCAAATCTTTCAATGTTCTCTCCGCATCGTGAATTTTAGCATCCAAATCTTGAATGCTTCCATCCAACTGTTGGACCTGACATTTTAGAGATTCTGTTTTCTCCTGATCCTGTGCAATGCTTTCCCGAAGCTAAAGGAAAAAAAAAAAAATTAATTAGATTTTCTTTTCCCTTCTATTTTGGGACATTGCGGTTTTCTACTTTTCTTTATGCTTATAGAGTTATAGTTGTCAAACTGGCACAGAGCTTAAGTTCTAAAATAACTAAACCAAACATGAAAGCACAGCAGAACTTTTACTTCACTGCATAATGAGAATGCTCCTGCAGTCCTGCCCCCTCCAAAAAAATAAATAAATAAAAATACAGTGGCACACGAGAAATAGAGGTAGGATTTTGTAGAGTTCGAGTTCAAGATTATTACAATAAAGAAGCAAAGCAAGGAAAGATGATTTGCAAATTTTATTTATCTGTAGAGTTGTCTAATTTTGGAAGAGAAAATAGACCTTATAAGCAGCATCTTTAAGAGTTTGAAGATTTTCCAGTTTCAGCTTGTAAGTCTTTATCTCGTGATTCTGATCCTTGTGAAGTTTCTTTATAACCTCCAGTGCCTTTGTGTATCTGCTCAGCATAAGAGCATATATTGACTACCAACTCTAAGTCATAATATAACATTAAGGTGGATTTGTAGATGATACCGAGTAGCGGAAAAGATATCGTCAAATTTCTTCTTTAAGGTGGAAGGATCCTGCAGAGGCCAGTTGGCTTCATCTTGATGAACGAATATAACATTCTCCAAAATGGCCTTCGAAACACCCATGAGCGCGGGAATCTCTCGATCCATGTCAGCACATCTATAGCTAAGGCAAACTTTCTGACAGAGCAGAGCAGAGTAGATTAGATTATAACCATAACAATGTAATAAGTATAAGGAGAAGAAGAAAATAAGAAAAGTTAATGTTTAAAGAGTACCTCGCCAGAATGAGGATTAATAGTTTGAAGGACACTCTCAATAGCCTTGAATTCCATCTTGGAGGCCTTTTGTGTGAGCTGAAAGGACCTTATGCAAACCACGTCTTTTCCCGCGGCTGTCTTGAATCGGAGCTTAATCTGTCCCTTCGTTTCAGTTTCTCCGGCAACCTTGGGGTCGTGAATGAAGCTGTGGCCAGACCTCGCGTTCGGAGGAAACTCCCCGGTGCATGATAGCTTCAAGCATTCAATTATTGTCTGCAATTCATGATGATAATAATGATGAAGTAAAAGTCAAGTAAGTGTGTGAAGATGAAAGGAATGAACATACGGTCTTGCCAGCACCGTTGGGGCCAACGATTAGGGTTAATGGCTTGAAGAAGGTGATCACGTTCTTATTCTCCGGGTCGAAGCTCCGGATTCCTTTTATCAACATCTTATCAACCGTACTCATCTTCTGTTGCTTCCTCTCCAACACAGCCCTTCACCCTTCACGCTTCACCTCATACTCATACTCAGTGTAGTGTAGCAGGAATTTACCACTCTTTCTTTCAAAGTCAAAACTTTTATGTTGGGCTGGGCTGGGCCTGGCCCAATCCAAAAATATAAATTAAATTATATACACATTCATTCCCTCCAAATCCAATGGAAGTGGGTGGCAAGTGGCAAGAGATGAAACGGTTGAAAGGGGAAGAAGAGGGTTTCACGCGACTTGCGTCATTTGTGTGCGATTGCGGCGAGCCTTTCTCAGAGGAACAACTTGAAGCCATTGAAGCCACCTTTCAATCCTCTCTCCCCAAACTCAAACCCAACAACAATAACAATAACAATAAACGTCCATTCAACGCTCGCCGTTTGCCCAGATCGCTTCTCGCTCTTCAACACCCAAATGCTAAAGCTTTTTCTTTCTCCTCTTCTCAAGGTTCTATGTTATTTCCTCTCCCCCATTCTATTTTATTATTTCCCATACAACTTCTCCATTCATTTCGCTTCTTTTTTTTCTTTTCTTTTTTAAATTTGTGTTGCTATCCTTTCATTACTTACACTAATTAAGTCGTGGATTCCAATAACCAGCTTGTTCCTTTCTGCTGTTGTTGATAGAATGCTATGCTTTTTTTCTCTACTGTGTCTGATGAGGATTTATTATTTTTTGACTCTTTCTTGTATTGGATAGTATTTTGGTATAGCGATGCGTGAAAAGAATTCCATTTGATTACGAAAATACAGTGATTTGTTACTGGCTTTGAAACATTTTCAAATAGTTTTTGGCTACTTAATATGGTTCAATTCAACGGAAACCCAGAAGATTTATCTTTTTTTTCTTCTGCTAAATAGGATTTCGGATAAATTTGTATCTACATTTCCTCTAATTAAAGATATGTTTTTTTTCTTTTTTTTTCCTTATGCAGGCTATTCAAGGATGAAATTGCCGGTAATGAAGTTTAGTGGCCAAATTATGTATAGCAGGACTTTTAGTGATGTAGAGAAAGCCGCAACAAAGCTTTTAAAAATTCTGGAAGAAAAGAAAAAAGAGACGATGCAAATTGCAATTGGACTTGACATTGAGTGGAAACCCTCCTTCAGAAAAGGTTGGTTAAATGGTTCAGCTTCTTCTTCTTCCTCTTTTTCAATAGCTGATTATGTCATTTACCTGATTGTATTGGGAGTCTATTACAATTGCAGCATTTAGGCAATGCTATCGATGGTGTAACGGATATTAAGATATTTTTGTTAGTTTAATATGAGAGCAAGATTAAGGGAACTGTTTTCCTGCCTATTATGACAATTGCTTTCCTTGCTCAAGCTTCTAGAACTTGACGATGGACAGTCTTGTTGAGGAATTTTGAAATTCTCATGGGAGGCAGAGCCTCTCTATTTCGTGTTGCAATGTGGATGAAGGTAAAGACTTATAAGTTGAGTATTTTGGGGGGTTGAACTTCCCCATTCTAGCCAATTGCTTGGCTCTTTACTCCATCACTTGGTTTATGGATTATCTTTTCTAAAAGGCTAAAAGCTTTGTTCACCTATGGTGAGAGGGGCATTCCCTACGTTTTCTACCGAATAAGAGCTTTCTCTTTTGCCCCTGTAAAAACATAATTCTTTAAATAAAATATTGCCATAACTTATAATTACTGAATCATTATTGTATAAAACATTCATAGGTGTTCCACCTGGAAAGGTAGCAGTGATGCAGATATATGGTGGCACTAGTCATTGTCATGTTCTACATCTAATTCATTCCGGAATCCCTCAAAATCTACAGCTTTTACTTGAAGATCCCACAGTTTTGAAGGTTTTTTTTTCCTGTTAAGCTGGATTTTAATTTTCTAGTTTTTTTTCCTTTCTATCTGTGGGAACTAATCAATTATCATAAGTATTAATACAGTGTTTGACGTATACAAGGTTGGAGCTGGGATTGGCGGCGATGCTGTTAAGGTTTTTAGAGATTATAACATATCTATTAAAGGTGTGGAAGATCTTTCTTTCAATGCTAATCGAAAGCTAGGTGGAGGTCCTCATAAGTGGGGTCTTGGATCTTTGACAGAAAAACTTTTATCAAAACAGGTATGTTTTGAGTTCAATATTCTTACAACCAGACTAGACACTGTGATTCGGACTGGTCCAGTCTTCTTCTAACACCTGATGGCCCAATGGAGGCTTTGCTGGATCTTGAATAGGCAAAAGGAGAGCAGCCTTTCCTCTCACCATTAGACCAATGCAAAAAAATTTGTTAACGTTATAATTACTATTTTTTCATAGATATTTTTATTGACCGAGTAGTAGTTAATTAAGAAATGTTTTGTATAAAAAAATAATGAAAAATTTAATTCAATTTAGTTTACTTCACTTAATTCGTAGTTCAATTCTGAATAAACCATTTCTTCCTGTCCTTTTCAATTTAGGGGCTATTTGGGTTTTCATGATGCAGTTTGAGTCGGGAGAAAGGTTTTGTCAGACCAACAGAATTTGTAAACATGTTGGGAACATTCAAATGACAAAATTGAATGCCATAAGTAATAAGAAATAACATTTTTGTTTCTTTGTTCATTTTCTCCTTACTTGATCATTTGTATTCCTGCTCTCACACAAAATAGAGATAAACCATTAAGTATTTAATTTCCATAACTGCTTGGTCATTGTCCTTTTTTGGTAAACCTTTTCGCTCTTTTTAATTTTCTTTGCCCGAAGGGGCACGGAGACTTTTCAACTGCTTTCTTGAAAAAGGTGAAGAACTACTGTAGGACGATATTTATCAAGTTTGTTATATGTGCAGCTTAAAAAGCCCAGCCAAATAAGAATGGGAAATTGGGAGACTCCTGTTTTGTCAAAGGAGCAACTAGAGTATGCTGCCACAGATGCTTTTGCTTCTTGGTATCTCCATCAGGTAAATATTAAATACTAAAAACCATCCACCACTCATTAGCCTCATTGTTGTCAAACTATTAAGTAATGTCCTCAATCTAGCCATGTTATAATCACATGACATGATCCAAGGAATTCTTATATTCTATTGCAGGCGATTAAGGATCTCCCGGACGCCCAGGAAATTACTGACAAAAGTGGCGAAGTTGATGGTGTACCGCAACAATGATTATATCCTTAGTCTGTGTATCAAATTTCATTTGTTGTTAATTATATGCAATTATTTATATCTGCTAAATGTCTGTTGTAATCTTATGAGAATGTCCCAAGAAATCAAACCGTCTGGAATTAGTCCCTGTTCTGGCCATTAATTTTTATTTGTTTGATGGTGGATGTGGTACTAAGGAAAAAGAAATGAAATAAATTGATCATTTTGTCTTGGGAAATACTCCGTAATGTTCATTTCAATGTTTCATACATTGAGCTTATAACATTGAACTCTTATCGTGTAAGGATGTTATCACCTTTCATAATAACATACTCCGTCCCACTTAATATCTCCCCTTTTTTTTACTCTTCTTTGAGCAAATTTCTTGCTGGAAAGTTCATTTGTAATTAAAAAAACTTCGTTGCAGCACCACCGAAGTCAAGAGGGTTCTTGAAAATATTAAAGCTATCATTAACTTGTATAGCTTTATGTATATTTTACTAATATGCATTATCAGTGTAAAGGAATTTATACTAATATTTGTTGTATTTTAACTTATTATTTATTACAATTTCATTCTCTTTAATATATATATATATATATTTTATATTGGCAGTTTGTATTCATTGAATAATTTACTAAACATCAAAGTTATCAATTTAAAAAGTATGTGATCAATCTCACCCTAGATATGATGTCATGATATTAAGTTGTCATAATATCAAATTCACGAAGAATAATCACACTCTGCTTTTGAATCAGCTATGAGCAAATTAAAACCAAAGAAACCGTTTTCTCCTCATAATTAAAATCTTGTTTCTAACCAATGTCAATATATAACCTGCAGGTTGCAATAGGAAACTGCAGGGTTAATTGCTATTCCATTATCTTTGCTCCCTTTCCATTCCCAATGTGGTATATGGAAGGCATGCATAATTGAAGCTGATCAGTGAGCCCCTACCGTCCCCATCACCCCCCCGGAATCCCCATTGGTTTATGAACCTCATTCAATTCAAGATCTCCCATCACTTTAACACGTGATGTTAACGGCTCTCACTTTCAGATTGAGAGAGACCCGTTAATAAAGGGTTTTCCAATGGGACAAGGTTTAAAAGTTAAGAGTCGTGGAGTTAGTGAAGTCTTTTATTTTTTCATAGAACAAGTGAAAGAACACTTTTTTTGAGGCCAAGTCAGAATGTTTTAATTTTATCCAGTGCATGTGAATCTGTTTTTTGTAGCAGATGCTCAAAGAAAAGTTTGATTTCATGCATAAGAATAACTTGTATATACATATTGCTCTCGAACTGAAGCGCTCATAATTTTGCAGTCATTGAGCAAAAATGGTGCGGTGTGTAACGTCGTTTATCTCCCCATGTTTTGTATATTATTTGGTATAAAATCTAAACTTTATTTAATAGATTAAATAATAAATAGTATCTATCGACCGAGAGTCATTACAAAACTAGATTTTTTAGATATTATAATAAAGGGAAAAGTGTTTATACTTTTAAATGACATAACCTATATCATTTCACTCTCACGGTGAAACCCACACCTTTATATTTTTTTTGTCTATTTTCTCTCCTCCTTTATCTATCTCTTTCTTTCACTTAAAATTACACAATTTTATCTCCTTTAAAATGATATATACATTTTTCCCTATAATAAAAGTTTAATAAGCTTTGCTGAATGAAGGAAGGTTCTGCTGCCGACAGTGGAGGATAGAGGCTAAAGTTGCTGTTAAGAGTCAAGTATAGAGGAACATTTTAGCATATAGCATTGAAAACGACAACTCATTTCTTAAGGTGGTGGCAATTGGAAAAACGCATTCTCACATATCAAGCTAGCTAGCTACTTTATTTTCAACATTATTGACTAAAAAGAACCAATTATCATGGACGAATCTCCTCAATCATGCAAAAGAGAACGGAGGAATGATCACTAACTAAAAAACAACATTAAAGTATTCCAAAAAAAAATTAAAAAATTAAAATATTGGATAAACAGAACAAAAGGTAACTACGCTTACGTTTACTCTTTTTTGTATTTTACTTGGATAAAAATCATTTAACAGCACGCATGTGCCTGTTCTGTTTAATTTTAATTTTTTAAAAAAATCAGAATCCTGTTTAATAAGAGCACGAACGATACTGGTCGGGCCAATTCTATGAAACAAAATGTTTTAACCTCTCTTTTTTTTCAATATAAACTCAGTTATTTGTGAAATAGAATAGAGAATTCCCTTTTTTTTTGGTGAGTCAAGAAAAATTATTTGTCCAAACTTATGTATGTTGAGGCAAAAGTGTGCCAGTGAAGGCAAACTTAATGATAATCCTAAAGTGAAGCATCTCATAAAATATGTAAAGAATAATATTTCTACAGTTACTACATATAAGTTATCAAGTGATCTGTATTTACATACAAAACGATATCATTTTGGAATTGAAAAATTAAATAATTATAATTATAAAGACTTTAATAATTCTGAAATAAATTAAAATTACAAAAACACCGTAATTTCTGCTCAAAACAACATCGTATTAAACTTATCTGAGTAGAAAAAGCGAACGAATGTTTAAAATAAAAATACAGTCCAAGTGTCCAACGGTGTGGCATGTAGTCTACCCCTCAAAAAACATTTGTTTGTACCAGGAAAGCCCATTGGATAGTGAAGGGCCAAAAGGATGGTTTCGTTGCACAAAAATTAAGAAATTCAAGTCATATAGAATTCTATTATTATGAGGATGCAGTGGCATGAAACATGTCTTCTTCTGCCTTATCTCAAATGGTTACTAAAGTCAAAAACACTCGGCTCCACCGAGCAATGAGCATCTTCTTCAATCTTGGCTTTTCACAAAAGCACTGCATGCCGACATTAACATTTGTTTAATAAACCATGAAGAAAGTAACCTAGCTATAGAACCCACCTCATAGTTGTTATAATTAATTGATTAATGTACGCGCGTTCTCAGTTTTCTTTGTGGTGGTGACTGAAATTTGTTGATCTTAATTGTCCAAAGATTTGAGGAAAATAAAAATAAAAAAATCTAAACACTCATCCATAATTGCTTTCATAATTAACCCAAACACTTTGACGAATACGTACCATTCTTTATAGGGTTTTATAATTCTCATTTAACATGAGAATTCAAATTTTCCTACACACCCTTCGATTTTCGTGCTGACATGGGTCCTACATATAATTTTTTCCAACACATGGGTCTCACATGCTTTTTATCTCTACAACATGAAAATTGAATTCTCATTTAACATGAGAAAATCAAACCCCTTCTTTATATTTGCAGTATCTATCACTCCATTATTAGAATATCCATGTAACGCGATTACTATTTATGCTGATTATTAAGGGTTTTATAAGAGTTATGTTATAGAAAAGATGATTGTGTTATGCTATAGAGATTCGTTTTGCGTGCCGTAGTTTTTTTTTTTTTCAAAACATGCGGATCCCACAAAATATTATGTGTGTAGAAAAAATTTTGTGATCACGTTAAATGATAGATATAAACCCCAATTATTAATGATTAACACATTATATGTAGACTGTACTCGTCTTCGGTATTCCCATGTGATAACTTCTCACAGAATAAAGAAGGGACAGATAATAAAGAAGTGACATACCTAAAAGCTACAACCACAAGCTCCATTTGTAAGGTACCCTATGCCCATGGCTTAGGAACCTTCTTGCTAGTGGCATCTTCCACTATTGGAAAATGACATCATATATATATGTCCTGTGGTTGGTCCTACTTTAACAACTTCCCCTTCTTAGCTGTACGCGTATCAATATCCTCGTTTAAATTGAAACTTTTGCTGAATAATGGAGTTCTTCTAATGAAGTTGATTCAAAAGACAAGGCACTAAAATCAAAGAGAGATTTTTTTTTTAATTTTTTTTTTTATAAGTGAAGGGTGAATTTTATTATTTTTAAAGCTTAAAAACAAGTGTGATCGTTCAAATTTAAAAAGTCATTTAATGTAGATGCAGGACACTCTAATTTATATAGCTTGAATGAAGTTGTGCTTACTACTTAATTCTAATGCTACTTGTTTGGCAACACATTTCCACATTCTCTGTAAATAGGCCAAAACAAACGGAACTTGTGGTTATTTAAAAATGGGAAATAATTATCTTATTTTACGTGAGATAATTATCTCATGCATTAGATACAAATTAGATGTGAGACCCACTTTAAATTTTCTCTCCCTCCTTTATTCTCTCTCCTCTCTATTCCATATGTGTGTAGGAGATTGTCTTTCTCTCATGTTAAATAAAAACAATCCCCTTTAAAAATAGGGGAAAATGTGTTTCAATTTAAAAGAATGTAAAGTTGTGTCATTTTAAGTGAGAGAAAGAGATAAATCATAAGGGAAAGAGAGAGTGGACAAAAAAAATAAATGTGTGAGTCTCACTTTTTTGTGAGAGTGAAAAGACATAAGTTGTGTAATTAAAAGGACAAATAATTTTTTCTTAAAAATAAGATGAGATTTGCCCTTTTTATAAGTAGAATTTTCCGAAAAAATTACCGCAGTTATATATTAGGAATAAATGTAGCCGGGCCCCATGGGACCTTATCCAGTAATAACATGGCTTCATTAATCTTTGTCCAAAATGTAGCCTCCGTTTTCATCGGTCTTTGTCCCAAACATGTTTTGGTTGGGTCTATTAAGATTTCAAGCTCTTGATGAATTTGGAGGGAAATTTTAATTCCTGTTGTATGAGTACTTGTTTGTCAGGACATTTTCACTTATTGTTATTCCAGCAAAGTCTCTTGTTCTTTAGGGGTGTTTGGTACAGAACAAATTTGTTTTTGTCCAGAAATTTCGATTTTCAAAAATATAATTTTTACATTCATTTTAAGATAATATCTAAAAATTAAAAATTTAATTTCTCGAAAATTTGAAAAAAATGCAGCGTACCAAACACTTCCTTAGTCACACAAAATTTCAATCAGCTCGAAACAAATGTTGGAGTTAGGCTGCATTTGAGACACAAAAACGACAGAGTCAGGCTGCATTTATCCCTAATAACATTCCAAGGTAGAGTTACCAATTGCCTTTTGGTTTATTTGAATACAAATAAAATAAAGGATTAGTGTTTGTCAATTGTGTCATTATAGACAAAATTATTGTA